GACGATGATGCCGCGAGGGAGCGTGCCGTTGCTGGAGGCACCAAGCAGAGTCTCGTACACTGCATGACGCTCGGCAGGGCGTAGGTGCCGCTTGCCATCGCGGGGCTCGTTAGACGGTCGAAGTGGGTCGGAAGCGCCGTGGGAGAGTTGTGGCTGCATAGTGGAGTTAGTTCGACGAGAGAAGCGGTGTTGGCTGGAGAAACGATCGTGTTATGAGCTTATTCTGATGACTTTTCGTCAGCGCATGCGACACACAAATTTTGGCGCCCAATATCTCATCAACCAAAACGCTCTAGAAAGCCCAGAAACTATCCAATCATAGCATAGATCTTGCGATTTCTAATGCACCAATCACATCGCAATTTGGGGCTAATTTAGAAAAATGCCGCCAATAGAAAGTCGAACCTAACAACTATTTTGGACCAGAGTAGTACATTATATCCAAAAATCAGTCGTTTCTGACCAATTTTGGCTAAAACGTCCTAAAATTAGCTCATTTTGGTGCGTGTCATTACCTTTTTGTCGCGCACTGTACGTAGTATTCTGTGAGTATACGTGCAGTACTAGTACTAGTTTACGTTAACCAAGTGAAGTAACATTCAAAACAGGACACTCTGCCATACGAAATCGATAGAGGGATTTGGCGATACTACAAAGTCGTGCGCACTAAGAATCACAGAGTAATTGGACGATTCACAGGGAGACTGCGCCCAAAGCGCAAGCGGTATACAATCTGTGCACATAGCATACTTTAATCAAGTAAAAAAAGTAACTGTCAAAGTGCGTCATAATAAGCTTTCTCAAGATATTCAATGCACTGTTTATGACTATAGTTTAGTGAGCATAGTACAATGCAGAAGCAACATAAACACAATAAAAGTCTAATTTGACTGTATTATCTTTATCTGTACAGAAAGTACAGTACATACAGTATTAATATGTACATACAGTATTAATATGTAATACCGTACTAAATACTAGTATTCCAGTACGTACATTACAACATACAGCAGTACATAGAAGGTAATGTAGGTGACACAACGTACTGTACGATGCTGAACAGGGGGGGTTCAAAGGAGTAGTTAGTACGAGTACTAGGAGCACAAGATTTAACTGTATACTAGTAGTGTGTACAGTATGTAGTACTAAGACGAGACAGTATTTAGGAACGGAGTAGTTCATGTACTGTATGCGGATGTACGAAATTGAAGGGGTACGTACTAGTACTACCTGGTAGACTCCTGTACCTAGTAGTAGTACTTCCAGATGTGTAATACGTAGTACTGTGTAGTACTTCGAAGTAAGTACTAGTACAGCATTACGAGTACTGTACGACGTATAGTACTAATACTTACTAGTATTACTATTAATTACAAGTATTACTAGTAAGTACTAGTACTATACTACTACAGTTGTACTAAATAGTACTGGTACAAGTACTAGTACTGAATATGCGGATGTACGACTTTTACTGTACTATTTTAATAGTACAGTAAAAGTGGTAAAAATATTGATATTTTAATATTGATATTAAAATATCAATATTTTTACCTAGTAGTACTTATAATAGGTACTCCCAGTACTACTACTACGTAGTACTATGTACTATTAATAGTAGTGCTATTTATAGTAACTTACAGTAAGTATCAACGTAGTACTATTAATAGTATGCAGTAGCGCTCCTTTAATAGTACAACTTAGTACAACATAGTACGACCCTGAATTGAGTGGTCTATTCGACGAATACGTAACGTTAGTATAAATAACGTTACTAGAAGGATATGATGAACACTAGAGGAGACTGCGCCCAAAGCGGAAGCGGTATACTTCACATATTGTATGTACGAAGTACAATATAATTAGATTTCCGCGTCATGACTAAACATAACGGATCAGCTACTTTGCAATAATGCTGTCTGTGGAAGTACTCGTCATGGTTGTCAAGCGTTCTCGCTTCGCGATGCCTGCCTGTCTCGCAAACTTCTGCTCGCACTCATACCGTCGGTCGACACCATACAAATACACAGACTCCTTCTGGAACTTTTCCTTGCCGTCGACTTCGCATTCCTGGCGAGAGAAACCAGGAACTTTAAGCAAGTTGCACCTCCAAGACTTCATGACTGGTAGATGTTGGAGGAATGGTCGCTCGTGGTTCGCCTGTATCAACAGCGCCAAGTCATCCTCGCTTCTTAACCTGCTCATAGCACACTAAACCACCGAGTGAAACCCCTCCTGTTCGGATAACCTCTACGTCGAAGTATTTCTTATGATTATCCGATTCCGTGATAATGTTAGCTGCTCTTTTCACGGATTCCGCTATAAATTTCATGAGTTTCCGTGATTGTACTAAAGATTGAGGGTAATTATTACGCACACGGACACGGATTACTTTGAGAAATCTCCAGAATAATTCCCTCAATAAAACAGTTCCAACGTTGTTTTGACCCGAAATACTGTTTCAATGAGGGAATTAATTCATCCGGATACACCTTCTCCTGTAGCACTGTAACCTGGGACCCGGTGAGTACATACGATGCTAAATCTCCGGGGTTAACTGCATCGCTAGTGGTTAGCTATCGCTAACCACTGACATGCACTTAATCCCTAGTAAGAGGTGAGTTGGTCGGAGCATACAAAGTTCTTTATAAATCTCATTGAAACAGTATTTCGGGTCAAAACAACAGTGGAACTATTTTAATGAGGGAATTGTACAAATCTCCCTAATGAAATGGATGCACTGTTGGGATTGGCAGGTATCCACCAATTATGTCGATGCATTTGGATAAAACATCTGGCTCTCCTTTGATTAGCTTACGGTATTGTGAATAACATTGTCTCTTGGCTCTCATTGGCCACACCACATGTACATTATGTATCCATTCGACGATATCGCGTGCATCACTCAAAAGTGCGCGTTCCAAGGAGTAGAGTTGGCTCATGTAAAATTTGCTGACTTGGATTCGCGACCACTTGAATATTCGTGATTGAATTACTGGATAATTTCATTGGAATACCGTATTCTCATTTTGCAAAATCACACAACAACACAACACTTGAGACAAATATGCACTAACGTTAGAAGCGTTTACCAAAATAAGGTTGAACTTGGTGTACATATATACGAAGTATATATCTATCAGTGTTCCATGCTTCATTTTCTTCGCAGATAACAGAATGCTTTTGTTGGAGTGCTTTACAACATGTCACTCCTCAATTTGGCTTGTTCCCTGCAAATGCCTCCCGCCTCGCCCAACGCTTACGCTCCGCTGGAGTCTGCTTCTGAGCAAGCCTTGTCGCCCTCTGGTTTGAGCTCCCATGAAAACATAACCCCTCAATTGAAAATTAGGCCCAAATACTCGTCAAAAGCGACTTCGTTGGGTTGCCGTCTTTGCGGCAGTTTGTGGGCTTGTCTGTGTCGCTGTCGGGGCTGTCGCGGTCACGATTGTAAAGGCAACTGACAATGGCCACAAGGCGATT